CGTACCTGGAGCTTTTGTTTCCAGCCTGGTTTGTGAGAAATACATTGTTAAAAGTCTTTTTGCAAACGCCAGATCTTATCGGTTTGAAAGGGCAACTGCACCTGAATGAACAAAAATTCGTCAAAAATCAGGAAAAATGGGCAATAGAGTCAATTTTGCAGCAATCATAAAGGAACGTTTCCTCTTTCCATTTTTGTTTTAAATACAATTTCTCCCATAAGAATTCGTTCGATTTCTGTCCAATTCTTCGGCACCTAATGAGCATTATTAGACGATGTTGAGAGCGTGCTGGATTGCTTCAGCGCAAGAAATAATTAATAATCTACATTTTAATAGTAATCAAGCATTTCTACCGTTATTACAAACTAATCAGCATAATCACACGCTAATGACGGTGAAAGGCAACGAGATCGAAACTGGAAAAGATTCTCGACTTATTCGTAACTTACTCAGCTGCTCATCAAGTGACTGTGGCCCATCTTCTTCTGGATAAAGCTGATCTTGACTTGCACCATTCTGAGCGCAAATGGCTGCGAAAAGCGGCAACAGAAGCCAATAATTTTCCATTTGAACTGCTTCGATCAAACCAATCGACTGGGTGATTATCTATCTGGTGTTTAGCAGTTGGTGGCCTTTACGCCACATTTTATATATCTAGTGATTGTTATAATTTATTATAATTACTCAGCTTATCTGAGTCGAACTGGGACGGTTAAGTGGTTGATGCGAATTCTATTTAAAACGCAAAAAAACATGTAAATTAATTGTTTCCTATTGGTTTAGAAAAAGCCCTTCTGAGTGCAACGGTGTAATTTATATAACATGGTTTGACGGCTCAGAAACCGATAAATAAATACTAAATTTTATCTAACAGCTTGTAGTTTTGTCGGAAACTTTCAGTCATTGCATATGTTTCATTGCTGCAGCTGTTGGTTCCTCTGTGTTGGGCTTCGCCCTCTATCTGAGCGGAATTTTGGTCGTTTTCCTTTGTCTCTTGGTTGTGATGGTAAATGCGCGTGCATGTGAGAATCGTGCTTAGCAGCACGATGAATTCCACCAAAACCACCGCCAATCCAATAGCAAGAAAGGCCAAATAGTGCTGGCGATACCATTGATCCAGTCGGGCTTCGCACCCCTGAAAAGTCGCCTTAGTTGATGGTTTTCCCATGGAATGAAGCCTCACCGTGGTGTGGCGGTAGCCCTCATGTCGGTTTTTCTCCAAAGCTTGGCATCGCAGCACGTTGATCGGCAATGGATTGAGATACGAACGATCATCCTGCCGGTTCTTCAGGACGCAGCAAGTAAGCGGAATGGCAAATGGGGGGCTGCGCCCCTGAAGCCTCCAGAGCGAAGTATCATATTCGTTGGCACTGTTAATGCCGCAGCAGTTGAACTGAAAGGCCGCCTCTGGTTGAAAGCATGTTTGGAAGCAAATGGGACACTCACAGATGTTTGCACCAAATCCACAGCAGCAGTCAATTGGTCTTCCCCAGTGCTTCCGTAGTTTCTCTGGACGGTTTTCACCAATTCCTCCGTATCCAGGCCGAGGCCCAGACATTGGGGCCAGATCCAGGTGATTGCGTAGACGGTGCATTCGCCGATTAGAACGGCCATGATGAGCACAAAGTACTGAAAGAAGTTCGCGCTAATTAGTCGAAGAAATCGGCGTATTTCGGCCGGTGGCTAGTGGAGCCTGCCCCCAGAGAAAGTGGCCAGCAAATCTATTCAATTAGCCCGCAATCCTTATGCTTAAGTCAGAAAGTGTATTTTGGATGGATTTTGTGGAGCAAAGTCTCTTCTCTAAGTGGTAAAAATTTTCGTTTTCGGTCGTCATCAACGGATTTTTGCCATTTTTTCCAAATTGTGTTTGGTTTACAAGGTTATTTTTGTAGTCAGATGATTTTGGGGAATCTTCAAATTTTACGGTTTACTGGGTTGTTTTTATAGGCTGAAATTTGGTATTTATTTGCTCAGCAATTGACGAAGTGAGAGAAATAATTGTTTTCATAATTTTTCGCGGAAAATACCTTAAGATTGTCACCATTTTTAAGTGAAACTTTAGAAAAATGAGCATTTAGAAGAAAAAGTAACTTAGTCAAAACTGGAAAATTCTGAAATTTTGAAGAAGTTTTAAAAATATTATTAATAAATGACCTTAAAAATAAATCTAAAACAAGTGAAAAAAAGTCATCAACATTTTAGCAGCAATGGAACTGAATTACTGCGCCGGTGCGATAGGTTGGCGCAGCCAACCATTTGCGGAGTACTGCGCTAACTCCTAAAAATTCACTGAGTTACCCAGGTCTAGAGCAAATGTGCGGCATTTCCCTTAAGCTGTTGCCTGGGGGTCTGGAGGAGTTGCAAACTGAGATCAATGCAAGAAACTTGAGGGTGAATTTGGCACAAAAATTAGATAAATACCGGTTGATTTGTGCATCATTCGGTGAAAAATTGTCATTTTAGTCTCACCAAAGATATCAGCCAGTAGCTGTGGAGGCAGGAAGCCCAGCAGCCGAGTATTCCGGCCGCAGTCAATGTGAGACCCAATAGAGTGAGCCCAACAGCCACATAGTAGAATAAGGGCTGGGGAAGATTGGTGAGAGGTCCAGCCACCAGGAGCTTGGACAGTAGGATGCGATCAGCATCGAAGATCACCAACATGCCTCCAAACATCAATGTGAAGCCACATGCCTAATGAACGAAGATACCACTGTTTTAAGCCAAACCATGGAACTTTGCAGACATTCACTCACTAAAAGAAGAAAATTGGCCACGGCCAGAATCACTTTACTGCCCACCAAACTGATGCCGCTCATCTTGAAAATGGTGCACAAATTTAAAATAATCGCGTCAAATCGCACACGAACCGCGCCCGATACATTGTCGGTCTACAAATGACCCTAAGTGCTGGTTCACTTGACTTCGTTAATTTCCTGCTACTTAAATTGGGTGCTAAATTGAATAAAGAGACACTGAAAATCGGTCAGAGTAGTGCCTGAAGATGGACGTGTTGGGACCGGCAGGCTCTGAACAATGGAATATTTGCTTAAAATGAGGCAGAACGGAAGGAAGCGCCAATTAGCGTAGCGTGACGTAGTGGGGCACCGGTGGGTTTCATGCTGGATGGTCAAGGGAGAGTGGACAATCAACCATGAGAAGAACGAATGTTTTCTACTGGAAAATGTGTTTTTTATGATTTTTGTTTACAATGTTTGAGTTTACATCAAGGAAATGTTTCTAATCATAATCGACATTATCACAATAGGGTGTTTTCACTTTTTTGTAAATGTTGGTATATACAAAGTAGTTATGGCAAACATGACACTGATATAATTTTTTTTGCAAAAAAAATTTCCATAATAATTTTAAAACGAATTTAAATTCAAATCAGATATTTTCCGCCAAAAACGCCGAATGCGTATCGTCGGTTGCCTATTCCGATTATGACGTAGCAGGTCATATCAACAAAGTGTCTCGTGTTTATTTTGTTGTTTTCGCAGCTTTGTGCTATTATTTAAGTTGTAGATAAGTTCTATATTGTTGAGGCGGATTCATTTTTTACAAACTTCTTTTTGGGCATTTCGCCTCAAAAATGTTTGTCTTTAAAAAAGACAGAATTTCCTCACGTCTTTTATTACAGATTGATAAATAGTGCTCCTATTTCGCAATAAGA